GGTGGGATTCAAATATGGGAACAACCGGTTCTCTGCGTGGATGCCACTTCCGGAAGTCCATTGTGGGCCTGGGGAACAAAAAATTAGCTACCGGTTCTGCCGAACTGGTACAAACCAGCTGAATCCCACCACTGGACGTATTCTCTGTTTCATTGGAAAGGAGGACTGCTTTGAAACTTTTTTTCCCCTGTTTCTTCCTAAATTTTAGGTCAAGTTCAAAATCGAAAATGTATTGAAGAGGTGATACATTTTGCCTGGGAAGAGAAACTGTTTCTTCTGGCTGACGAGGTAATGAAAATGTTTAGCCTTGGAGGCAACAACTTATCTGGATATTGGAGAGCATGTATCGTTGTGATGTTCTTGCAAAATGACCAGGAGGATCAGTGAGGCCGATCACAAAACTTCCAGATACGAAAAGACAGATTGACGCATTATTTGTCCTAGAGCAGTGATGGCGAACCTTTTAGAGACCGAGTGCCCAAACTGCAACCCAAAACCCACTTATGTATCACCGGGTGCCGGGTGGGTGTGGCCTACTCGGTGGGTGCAGCTACAGTGGGCTTGGCAGAGTGGGTGGGCCACTGGATGGGTTTGGCTGCAGTAATGGCAGGTTGGGTGGGCATGGCCAGGGTGGGCGTGGCCACCTTGGGGAGGGACACTTGTGGGAGCCGGGCAGGGTTGGGGGAGATCCAAGGGGTCTCTGGCGGGTGGGATGGTGGGCTCCCCAATGGCCGCTCCAAGCTGGCTGGCCTTAGGCCAACGATGGTGAACTTTTAGAGACCACGTGTGCTGGGGTGATGGCGTGTGGCCACAGAGAGGGCTCCGCGTGCCGCCTCTGGCATGCGTGCCATAGGTGCGCCACCACTGTCCTAGAGAAATATACACCTATTCCTGGGTCCTCCGTAGGTGTCACGATTTTTCTTAGGAAATTAAAATGAGGTGTTTCAATGCATACTTGCTTATTGACCGAAGACCCAGAGACCCATATGCAACTCAGGAGAATGTTAGAGTGGGGGACTTCCTTTGGAGCATAGCAATGTTTTTATTTATATTAAAAGAATGTTAAAAAATGGGGAGGGGGGAATCAGAAAAGAAAATTGCAGGGTATAAAGAGGGCTTTCTCTGAACACACGAGCTGAGGAGCATCAAAAGCTCTAAAATGTTCGCTGTCATATAACTGAGTCCTAAAAAGCAACGTTGCTTTTTGAAAAGCAAGAAGCCTACAGATAGTCCTCAAATTACGACTGGTCGCTTAGTAACTGTTTGAAGTTATTACAGACACACACCCCCGAAAGATACTTACAACCTGGTTCCAAAGGGGGAGGCCTCCCCTGTGGTCATGAGATCACATTTGGACGCTCAGCAACTGACCCACCTTTATGGCTTTAGATGCATCCCATCATTTACAACGGGTTTTTTTGCTGAAAATTGGCATTTATTTGGCGGTTTTTAGCAAAAAAAATGCCCCATAGCGACCAATGGGTTCAGGGTAATGGTGATTCACTTACCATCCGCTGCAAAGCGAGGTCATAAAATTGGATGGGTCATGTGATGACCCACTTTATAACCATCACAACTTAACGACTATAACGAATAGGTTACCATTATGGTGATTAAGTTGAGGACTCCCTGCATTTTGTCTCTTTCTGGGGTGCAGGTTTATCAAGACAACGTCTATGCGGAGAACTGCCAGTTCCACTCCTTCAAAAAAATCCTCTATGAAATGGGACCCGATTATTGGAACAATGTTGAACTTGCTTCTTTTCATTCCACTTCCAAGGGCTACATGGGCGAGTAAGTTTCCCAACTGAGTACGGAATTTTTGCTATGCAATATCCAATTTACTTAAATTCCTTGCTGTGGCTTCCGTGGGATGGTCAAACAAAGTCAACACCTCACTTCTTTTGTCATAAAAGGGCTGGGGCTTGAACTGCACAGGTGTGGCAGGTTGATTTTTCAAAAATAGTAATTTACTATTGCAAAACAAGTAGTTCCTTCTATTATTTGGGTACGCTAGTACTTATTTAGTGTTGATTGGAAGATTATTAATACTCTGATGATTTGATCATTTAAATCCTAAAGATGAAGGGAAGAAAAGAAAGTTTATGTCCGTATTTTTTTTTTAACTCCCGGCCGCAATGCATAGCCTTGGCTTATATGCTGGCATAATCCACCAAGCAGTTGCCATTCCTTTCTTGCAATAAAAAGATTAAAATAGGATGCTGCATTAGTTGTGGATTTTATAGGTTGCATTTCTGCCATTCCGAGAATTTCGTGCTAAGTTTTCCTCACCAGCACGTTTTTTTTCCCTCTTTCTCCTTTTCTTCTCTTTTCTGTTCCTGCTGCTTCTACCTGGTTTTCAGGTGTGGCTACCGAGGAGGCTACATGGAGGTGATAAACCTGCATCCAGAAATTAAAGGGCAGCTAGTTAAGCTCCTCTCTGTCCGTCTGTGTCCACCTGTCTCCGGTCAAGCTGCTATGGATGTTGTCGTGAACCCCCCTGTTCCTGGAGAGGAATCATATGCCCAGTTTATTAAGGTTTGTGTGTGTATTTGACATTCTTCTGGAGGCAGGTTGTTCCACTGGTTAATTGTTCTAACTGCCCGGAAATTTCTCCTTAGTTCTAGGTTGCTTCTCTCTTTGATCAGTTTCCATCCGTTGCTCCTTGTCCTGCCTTCAGGCGCTTTGGAGAATAGCTTGACTCCCTCTTTTTTGTGGCAATCCCTGAGATATTGGAAGACTGTTATCATGTCTCTCCTAGTCCTTCTCTTCATTAAACTAGACCTACCCAATTCCAGCAACCTTTCCTTATATGTTTTAGCCTCCAGTCCCCTGATCATCTTTGTATAGTGCCAGCTGGTTTGGGCTGCCCAGTTCAGGTGTCCTTTGTGTGACATTCTTTCCCTTTTCCCGACACAGGAAAAGGAGTCGGTCTTGAACAACCTTGCAATGAAAGCCAAACTAACCGAAGACTTGTTCAATCAAGTGCCAGGGCTCCACTGCAACCCACTTCAAGGAGCCATGTATGCGTTCCCACAAATTTTTATTCCTGCCAAGGCCGTTGAAATAGCCAAGGTGAGAATGTCTCGTTTCTCTACAAGAAATGCTGCTGCTGCTGCTGAATCAAACTGGAGATTGTTCGCCTGCTTTAGATAGAACATTTGTGCGCCAAAACGAGCCCGGATTGTTCGGCCACATTTTCTTAATGGAACCAAAACTGGCTGAGTTTGCACATAAGCTAGACTTTATATGTTACATTGGCCATTTCGCTAATAAAACTACGTTATGTGGGCAGTACTATCCATGATGAGAATGTGAGCCTAGAACAGGGGTAGGTAGGCAACCTTGGCTCTATAATAATAATAATAATAATAATAATAATAATAATAATAATAATAATAATGATGATGATGATGATGATGATGATGATGATGATGATGATGATGATAAAGTTGGAAGGGACCTTGGAGGTCATCTAGTCCAACCCCCTGCTCAGGCAGGAAACCCTATACCATTTTGGACAAATGGCTGTCCAGTCTCTTCTTAAAAACTTCCAGTGTTGGAGCATTCACCGCTTCTGGAGGCAGGTTGTTCCACTGGTTAATTGTTCTAACTGTCAATGATTTGTGAACTTCAATACCCAGAATTCCTGAACCAGCCATGCTAACTCAGAAATTCTGGGAGTTGAAGTCCACAAGTCATAAAAGAGCCAAGGTTGCCTATCCCTGGCCTAAAGTATTGGACAAGCTGGTTTATCCGCTAAATATCTTACGTGTTACCAAATTGCACTGCTCTTCCAGTGAATGAAAAGATAGTTATGCTTGCTTCTTGGAGAACGTGCCTTTAAAGCAAGAGGCCTTCAAACGTGGCCCCTTTTATGACTTGTGGACTTCAACTCCCACGCTGGCTGAGGAATTTTGGGAGTTGAAGTCCACAAGTCATAAAAGGGGCCAAGTTTGAAGGCCCCTGCTTTAAACAATGGGATAGAAAAAGAATAGATGTGGCATGTTTTATTAGGTTTGGTGGTGGTATCCTTCTCTTTTTACTTCCCGTGGTGCCCAATCATTTAGTACAGACCTCAGGCCCTTATCTGAGTCCATAGTTTCTAGAAATCAGCATCCTTTCCTACACATTTGAAGTCCATCACCAAGACATTTGAGATGAAAAACACAGGGTTCATTCATCTGAAGGTTCATTCTAAAACAGATATTGTGTACAGGTAATCCTCAACTGCTTTGCCACGGTTATGAAGTGAATAATTGTAGTTGTTACATTAGTAACACAGTTGTTCGGTGAATCTGGCTTGCCGATTGACTTTGCTTGTCAGAAGTGTCCCAAGGAACACTGCAACCATCATAAATATGAGTCAGTTGCCAAGCAACTGAATTTTGATCATGGGACCAGTGCTGCCATTGTCATAAGTGTGAAAAACGATTATAGGTAACTGCTTTTAGTGCTGTTGTAACTTTGCACAATCACTAAACGAACTGTTGTACGTTGAGCATTGCCTGTAGTTGGCGATCCTGCCCACGCCCAACTGCTTCTTTTAAACCTACACCCAGTGTAAGGTGCTAAACCACGCGGGTGCAAGAAAACACATGGTCGTATCTGAACATGAGAGCATTCAGAACCTCTTTAATCATTTCAGAATAGCACAATATTCAGAAACAAGCAGAGAATTTTGAAAGGACTGTGCGATTAGTAATTAAGCCATTGAACTTCAAATTACTCCAGGTCCACCAAATGGCTCCCGACATGTTCTACTGTATGAAACTTTTAGAAGAAACCGGAATCTGTGTTGTTCCTGGAAGCGGGTTTGGTCAAAGAGAAGGAACTTATCACTTTAGGTAAGATCTGGACTTACAGATACTGTCACAATGAAATTATTTCCTTGTAATCACCACAAGATATTCACTAAAGTACTTTTTCTTTTCCTTCTAGGATGACGATTCTCCCACAAGTAGAGAAACTAAAGATCTTATTGCAGAAAGTGAATGATTTCCATATAAAATTTCTGGAGGAATTCTCTTAAAATAAAGACTCCTTGTTTTTTTTTAGACTGTATCTTTGAAAGTGCATTCAAGCTGCGACAGAAAAATAAGATTTTCAGAGGGGGCGGTCTTTTTTTAATCAAATTCGTGATAGAATTACAATTACTGGAGCTCCAGTTTGATAGAAAAGACTAGTAAAAGACGGGAACAAACCTACGAAAACAAGATACGGGAAATGTATTAAAAGAATTATTAACGCAGTCATTGGTTGCCAATTGAGATGTCACAAAAATTGCCTCAGTCCCTCAGCATGAAAGTAAAACTTGATTGCCTTGGTGCCGATAAACATTCTTTATGCTTTTCTTTAAAAAAAAAATCACAATATTCTTTCCTACCAAACCAATTTAGGAAACTACAGTTGTACAGGTAAGCTAAAAGCACAGGTGAAATTATTTGGAACTCTTCTGTTGAGCCTATCTAAGGGAGATGAACCCAGAATTTGTTTTGCAAATAAAAGTATTAAAAATCTCCTGTTTCGAGATCAAAGAAGAGGCTCAAGATCTTGTTCTGACAATCAGAATAAATTCAGTGCCTTTTGAATTTCTGGCGAAGCTGCCTCAACCTGCAAAATACAACATTTATCATCTTTGATAAGAAGATAGGTCACTTCCACTGTTTAAAAGCATGGCTGAAAAATAAGTAAAAGGAGGAGAGCTAGAAAGAGACTTAGGGGGTTATAACAATACTTAAACTCCTACTTAATTTTAGCCAGCTGTTTCCAAACTAAAAATATTGAGTTTAAGCTTCCTTTAGCCAGGATGAGTGCTGGTTCTTAATAAATTGGGAAGCGGGGAACAACTCTGTTGCAGAAATCTGAGTAGGAACATTTTGGAAAATAGATGTCTGGTTACTTTGGATAAAGTGTCCAAACCAAAAGAAGCCCTTATTGGGATGTTGGATTACATCTTTGCATAGTAAACAAACATTGATGATAACAGAGAAACATTTGCTCATAAAAACTTCTGGTTTTCTTGATCACTGTTCTTCATGAAAAGGTCTCTGATTGCCCTTGCATAATCTTAAAGGGGCCAACATAGACAAGACTAAACAATAAGAAAGGGTCCAATTTGATGTTGCCTCCCTGAATATTCAGATTCCTCCAGGACCGTGATTTGAATTTAAATTGTTATTAAACTAGGGCTTGGTTGGAAACTTAGTCTGCTTCAAACTGTGTTTCTGCTTGTCGAATTTCAACTGTTCAGAAACTATTCACTCAAATTTCTTAATTGGGTAAATGTTGTTTGATGTTGGAAGGCTGATCCATGTACATCAAAACACAAATAACGGAACAGGATAGCAAAAGAAATGTTTCTCACATGTCTAAATGGGATGTCACTTGCTTACTTTGACTCTTGGTGTCAAGCCTCTAATAACAAGATTCCACCGTACAGTAGAAGGAAAAATTCATATGGGGTTTCATTAATCGGGCTGAATTCCAGGAGAAGAAAAATTCTCTTTTTTCCAGATTGCTTCATCAAAGGGCTAATGGCTCTTTGCCAGATAAGACTGAAATATCCATTAAGTTGTGTTTTGAAATCCCTCTTCTCAACCTTTAAAACTTCTCTTATACTTGGGTATCATAAAATAAGATTTAGAATTGCTTCCCACCTAATGCTGTTCAGATACAATGGGAATTATGGATTCAAGGCATCTGAAGATCTCATATTGAACTTTGTCATGTTGGTTGAGTTGTTATGAATTATATCAAAAATGTACCATCAGTCCTCAAAAGGTTTCTTAATTACCGAGATTATATGTCATTTTGAGTAGCTGAGCCAGTTTCCCAAAGTTTCATACCAAACATCTCTTCTGTTGGAAATTACTTGACCGCACTGTTTTCTTAATGATATGCTTGGTTGGGTGCAAGTTTCGTTGAATTCTGAACTGACTGCCTTAGATTATACTATAAATTACAATTAGCTGCCTCTTAAATCATATTTGGTATTTTGTTGATGACATCAATTTGTAGGAGGGTGATAGCAGTTCTCAAAGCCGTGGCAATTTCCCCCCAAATCTTTTAAGTTGCCATGTACTACATGAATGTAGTCAACCAATGCAAGAGAATGTTAAGGCTTCATCCAGAGCAGTTGCAATTAAAAATATTTTTGTAAGTAAACATTTTCAGATGGTATGGATGGGAAGTGAGTATTTGTAGTCCTTTGTTTTTCTCTTGTGGTAACTTTTTAATGCTACTGAAAATGATGTCAAGTTTACATGTTTCTAACTCATGCTTTTACAAAGAGACTTTGAAATTTTACTTCTTTGCACTTTTTAAAAGTGGGAAGTAGTGATACTTTTAATTTACTCTCAACTGTAAAACACCAACTTCTAGCTTTCCTTGTGACTCAGAAACGGTATTTTATGGTGCCTTTGGATTTCTGATATTTTGGAGTTTACAACATCTCTGATCATGGTGCATAATATAACCATTGTTAAGGCTGATTTGTCACATTGGTCATTACTGCAAGGAAGTTAACATGCCATTTAATTGTCCTTGGCTAGTGATGGTCATTTTCTCAGATCTGCTTCCAAGCCTTGATGGATATGATCCTCGGATGGTTTCAAAATAATTAAACTGTAAGAGCCGTTTCATTTTTTTTTAATGTCAAGAATTGATTACCAAGGCAAGCGAACATTACGATGTTTGGTCATGGGTTTGTTTTTCCTGCCTTCTGGTGTTCTTCATCCTGTTCTTGGATGACTTTTTAAATTTTTACTAATAAAAGAGCTATTATGAACTGTGGAAGTCATTTAATTATTTGTATGACGTAGGGTATCCTGGTTCACACATCACAACCAGTGCAGTGCTTAACCATGATTGGGCTCATACTAGTCCATTTTCCAACTCCCCATGGTCAGGCATGCATGGAGGAAAAAAAAGGTGGATGCCTGAGTTAATTCAGCACCCTAATATAAAAGTGGTTGGCTGTTGCCCCCCCCCCCAACTGCTGGTCAAATCCAAACAATAGTTCACTTATCATTCATGTGTGTTATCTGAACCAAGCGCTGAATTCAGAAAAACCATAGTCAACTGGCTGGTTGCCACTCCAATTGAGACGCAAAAGCTATATGAATCTCTACATGTTAAATCTTGGTTACTTTTAACCTTGATCGGCGTTCATTCCCAGTAGGTTTAGAGATCCTTTGCAAAGCCAGCCGGTTGCATCAGCTTCTGGTCCTACAGGCTGCAAACCCAGACAGAACACAGTAACCAGGTTTAAAGCATTACCCACAGGTGCATAACTGGAACTCAGCCTGACTCCAATTCAGACCTTCAAGTTTTGGGGTGGGGGGGTGGGTGTAGAATGGGAATATAGCTCCCATTGTCTCCCCAGCCCGGTCTCCTTTGGTTGTTGACCGGGCAATCTGAATTAGCAGGTGCAGATCTGCCCCACCCCATCTTTGCAAACAAACAAACAAAC